TCACATTATATTTATATTTAATATCATATCATAATTATAAATTTATAATTTTAATCGACATCTTACCCAATGTAGAAAAAAAAAAAAAAAAAAAAAGAGTATATAAAAGGAATCTAAGTGGAATAAGCGTGCATTAAATAGGGAAAGTGGGCCCATTAAGTGGGAAGTTCTTGGACTTTAACTGAGTATTAAAGATAATTTGTCGGTGGATTTTCAAAGATTTTTAATGGACTTCCAACTTCCAAGCCAAGCCTAGTTAAGTTAAGTTAAAGTTAAGCCCCCGGAATTTATACCACGCCTTCCGCACCTAAATCTTATCTCTCTGGACTTCTCCCTTCTTTCCTTCTAGATAAGCTTCAGCTTCTGTTCTCGCCGAGATTCGGGGAGATTCGTAGGTTCGATTAAAGAAGATGAACGGCGGCGAAGCCTACGGCGTACTGGAGACGCAGTACATTCGGAGACACCACAGGCATGAAACTAGAGAGAACCAGTGCACTTCTGCTCTCGTTAAGCACATCAAAGCTCCGGCTCATCTGGTATGTTCTTTTTATCAGCTCTCCGATTGCCTTCTCTTTGGATTTTGTGGGGGATTTTACTTTGAATTTCCTCTTCGATCCGATCTTCTCTCTGTGTTTTAGCAGTTGGAAGTAATGGATTTTGGAGGTTCTGGTCGAGTGTTTTGGGAATGAAATGATTTTCTTGGCAATATTTTCTCAGCAGCCAAACGGCTGTGAAAGCACTTACTCAGAAAGATTCAGTTAAAGAAATTCAAAAGATGAAATTTCATCATTTTTTTGGACTTGGCGTGATTGTTAAGTTTTCTTGTCTTTAATGTCTTTTTTTGCTACTAATGATTAGGTATGGTCGTTGGTGAGGCGATTCGATCAACCACAGAAGTACAAGCCATTTGTAAGCAGGTGCATAGTGCAGGGGGACCTCAGTATTGGTAGCGTTAGAGAAGTGAACGTTAAATCTGGCCTCCCTGCCACCACCAGCACTGAGAGATTGGAACTTCTTAACGATGAAGAGCACATCCTGGGTATTAAGATTGTTGGTGGCGATCATAGACTGAGGGTGAGTATAGGCGCAACTCTTTGTCTTTTTCTTTTATGGGTTGTTGAAGCCTTCACCTATGGTATTGTTTAGAAATTTGTGATTGGCTACTTCCTCTGAGGAAGTAGTGATTTTGCAGCTGGTCTGCTTTAACCCTGTTTGGTACCAATCTTTTGGGTGATCATGCTTTTTCTAATTTAGTGGAGGTACAAAGTTAGCTCAAATTGTTTGTTTCTATATATGGATGATTCTGCAGAATTACTCTTCCATCATGACTGTACACCCTGAGATTATTGATGGGAGACAAGGGACAATGGTGATTGAATCCTTTGTTGTTGATGTGCCTGAAGGGAACACCCAAGATGAGACATGTTACTTTGTGAAGGCTCTGATCCAATGCAATCTCAAATCTCTTGCTGATGTCTCAGAGAGGATGGCTGTGCAGCCTGTGCAGGATCAGGTGGCTCCCTTCAACAGATACTAAAGTGTCAGAAACTCTGCAAATAAGTTTGATGAGTAAATGCCCTCTCCTTTGAAGGCTGTAGATTGTAGAAGCTTTGTAGAGATCAGTGGGAGTGGTGCTTCCTTGTTCTAAACAAGTTTTGGGTACAATTCTGGGCGTGTGTGCCTTGCTTTCTTTTTCTGCACTTTTCTACTTCTTGCAAGTTTGTTTAATCCCTTGGTAGTGTATCCTGGGGTTCCAACTTCCTATTAATTACAAACCTCTTTATTTCCCTGTTCTATAATGAATTCCCATGAAGTTAGAAAGATCAGTTCGGATCTTTTTCTCCCTCTACTGGGCTTTCTTCATGGTGATTTGTGCATTAGGCCATATGCCCCTTCTGTAAACATCTATGTGTAAAAAGATGGAGTCTTTCTCGTACATATTGTAAGTTTACAGCTTTGTGGTCAAAACAAATATTAAGGGCATGAAATTTAAATCATAGAAATAAAATGTTGTTGTTGTTGTTGTTTTTTTTTTTTTTTTTTTTAAGTCAAACCAAATGCCAAGATGCAAAATTGCATTTGGTGAGATTCATTTAAACCAAACGCAAAATTAGGTACAGGATGAAAAATAAAGTCATGGAGACCGCAAATTGAAAAGCTTCTAAATTTAGAACCAGTACAGTTCTGCTTTGTTGCTAGTTTTGTACATTATCTACAATAATACTTTACAATTATTCTGCTTGTTCTATTGTGCTTGTGGGGTGAAATGTATTGTTTTCCACAAGTTCATGCTCAGGCACTAAATTTGAGTTGCGTAAAGTACTAGAACACCAAGCTTATGCACCAAGCCACTCACTGCAAAGTGCTCACTTTTGACTCATAAATTCACTTCAGGGATTGTGATGGCATTGTTACCTACATGAGTCAGATTCTTATATTCTCTAAGCAACTAAGTTAGCATTTGGTTTACTGATTCCATTTCACAGGGTTTTATTGCATGACCAGCCACGCGTTGGCTTGCAACACAAAATTAATGGACCTTGAACAATAAGACATCAAATCATTTATATAATGAGAGAAGAACTGTACTTCACTTTTCTTATAAAAAATTGTTTACAATACGATAGATCATCTCATTCACACAATGTAGAGTTAGTTCATGACCCATGGCATAAACCAAGATTTGATAATCTGAACCAAAGAGAGATATAATTTCAGCCATGGTCTCAACCCTATAGAACCATTTACTACCTTACATGTAGATCAAAAAATCTTCAACACTTAAAGAATGTATGTGTATTGTGTTAGTGTACTAGACTTCTTTTCTATCATATATTTGAAACGTTTAGAACTTGATCATGTTCAGTTAAAAAGAAATATAATGAACGAATCAACAGGTTGAACAACAAAGTTAATCCCATTTGAAGGAGTAATCTCCCAAAAGCAATCATGGAAATGTTACTTAGTCGCTTACAATATTTTCCTTGTGCGTGCCTAATCCCAACTCCATAGCAGGTATATGTTTCACTGCCTCATTTGAATTGTGTTTCCCACTTTTGAGGTTTTATTTGGTATCATCACAATTACAAAAAGCTTTAAGAAACTGAAAACTCAAAACAGAAGATAAATAAAGAAAAGCAAATGTTTTGAAAAGAAAATGTTGGTATATAAAATTTAAGAAAACATACTTAAATTGCAAAAACAAATCTAAATCCAATTTAGAGGTCATAAAAGAACTAAAAAAACATTATAATATCCGTACAGGAAATAATGTAAAAGAAAAAATTATAAAATCAGAAATCATTTTTGTTATTTAAACAAATATTTACAAGAATAGCAAAACATGATTTCATTTGTTGGTAAAAAAATGATTTCATTTGATACATTAACTTCTATTTTTCAAATATCTATTTACATTATACAAATATATCCTGTATTATTCAATAAATTTTTTTAATATGTATAGAAGAATAAAATCATCATAAAAACATCTGAAATCTATGAATATATACTAAAAAAATCTAAGCAACTAATAAAAATATTAGATAAAGAATAAAAAGTTTTAAAGATGTAACATATAACAGTAATAATAATATTATTATACATATAATAAAAAAAACCAGTATCAGAAATATACAGTGCTTTTATAAACTTGTAGGCATAATTAAAACAGCATTTCCTAATTTTCAAAGCAGCTGCTTGTTAATCTCTCAATCAAACGACAAAAAGGCTGTTTTTTTGGAAATAAAGACAGAAGAAATAGAACTGCTTAAAATAGAAAATAAAAATAAAAATAAAAACCAGAAATAAAGTCCCAAAAATGCAAAAGTGATACCAAATAGTTCCCAAAAGTTTCAAATGAGATAAAAAAACATATACCTGATTAGGTAGTTAAGGGTGATTTGCCAAAGAAAACACTGCAATCCCAGCCAATCCCAACAATCCAGAACCTCAGCATCGTGGCGATGTGACAAGTATATCATCCCGAGATCACTAGAAAGGAAATGACTCCTTTAACAGAGGCTAACATGAAGTTAAGCCTAAAGACTGTTCATTGCATTTCTATGACCGAACATTATAAGTCTACTCTTCTCAAATATCTGATAGCAATGAATCATGTATACTTCCACAATCAACAACTATCCTTCTCACGATAGAGTTTTCAATCCACATTGTGGA